TCTGGATCCCTTTGGATCAGATTCTGGTGATAACATACAGAGTTCACTGCAAAACTAGACCTGGGCCACAACAAAGAAAGTAGTCTGTATCTCCCATCACCTTCCCAAAAGCATTGTCTTTGGAAGTATAAATGAAAGGTAAGCCCTGGTTTGACGCTAGAGGCATCACTTACAAAACTTACCCTGCCCTTCCTCTCTCATCACCCTGCCTCCTGGTTTCATTTCATGAGCTGCTAGAAGGGGAAATGTAACCATTTTTAACAGGTCCTATAAAATTCGGAAATGGATCCAAGGTTTCTGGATCCATTTGATTAGTACCAAGCCATTTCAAGCAAAACCTGATTTCAGACATAATCTGTCTCACTTCTCAGTACAAGGTTTGTCTGGATGCACACCCTTAATGTTTAAATGCATATGTGTGTCTTCTGTGTGCGTGTGCATTTAAAAAGCCACAGATTAATGAGGAAACAGAACGGGAAGAATTTATGAGTAAACACAAGTGAAAGTGACTGATCCGACCAGCCCTAGCTTTAGCTTAATTAGGTTAGAGGGCTTTTCCAAGCTTTATTAGGCAAGCTCAGGATTTCACAGCTGCCTTGCTTCTCTGTGCCTTTTGCTCAGGGATTGCACAGTTCCTTGGAGCCCTCACTATTGAGCCTTTGGGGACTTTAACCCAGTTTTATCTCTGAACTGTAATTAGTGTCCAGGGTTTGGAGGAAAAGCAGACAAACACTTTCCCTTTCCATGCAATTTGCTTTGCTGTTCAGCAAAAGGTTCCCCCTCATCAAACATGCAAATTGTGTCATGAAAATCAAAATTCACAAGAAGTCAGCTTAGGTCTACTTTATACCATCCTTCAAGTGACTTTTTGAGAATACCAGTGTCAGCATGTCGGCCTCCATCAAGCATATTTTTGTCTTCCTCCAGGCTTAGGTGGCAAGTGAAGAGAATTATACTCAGGCTATACCTTAAGGGCAATTTAACTCATATCTCGATTATGAGACTGAGATTTCCTGTTGTCTGCAACATATTATAAGTTCTCTGAAGGAGAAAGTTTCTTCCCACTGGAATATATATTCAGGAAGGCAAACCACAGCCTGTGCGATTCTTGTAGGCTTAAGGATCGGATCCAGGCCCCTGCTGTTGCAGAACACCACGTTACACCATCCTATTCAGATGGCTGCCCAGTTTCTTTTTGAATGTCTCTAGTGTGGGAGAGCCCACCACCTCTCTAGGCAGCTGGTTCCACTGCCGTATTGCTCTGACAGTGAGGAAGCTTTTCCTGATGTCCAGCCTGAATCTCGGTTGTTGCAACTTGAATTGATTATTTGGTGCCCTATACTCTGGCATCAGCAAGAAGGGATCTTGATCTTCCTCTTTGTGACAGCCTTTGAGGTACTTATAGAGGGATATCAATTAGAGGCAGTGGGTTCCAGTAGAACGTATTTAGACATATCACAGCAAACTAACTGTATACTCATACAAAAAAAACCCTAATTTGTGTCAATTTGTTTTGGTTTAGTTAACTTTTTGCAACAAATTTGCTTCTTCACAGTGTGAGTAGCTTGTGCACATCAAGTGTTAACAATGCCATCTCCATTCCTGATTGTAACAAAATAAAATGTGAAAAAGTCAAAGGGGTGGATACTTTTGCAAGGCATTTTATTTTAAAGAGTGACAATCCTTAGGTATAGCTGGGATATAAATAAATATAATAACTAATAAATAGACCATGCTACATTTCATCCTTTTAATTGTTGTGAACTGTCCAGAGTTTGACTATTCTGAGGTATATTGTTGTTGTCCTTACTGTTTTCATTTATTTCATATCTATATGTCCTAATAACCAAAGCTTGCTGGGTGACTCATAGAAATTAATTAAACAGAAATGTAATAATACAATATAGCATGATATTTTAATATACAAAGGTTATCCTCAAACTTATTGAAAACCTCTGTACCTTCTGGCAAAGCTACAAGGCATCTACAAATAGTCTCTTCAGCACCTCTTGGAAAATGACTCCCTAACCCAGCTTTTAGGTAAATTTCTTCCTGCAGAATAATTTCTATGTAAAGAATTTAAAGATGGAAGCTGGAAAATAAGTTTGTGAAAACTAATGCAGCTTTCCTGTGTTGCAACTGCTGAGCTTCTGCTGAAACCAAAAGTTCAAGTTTGGGGCAGTCAAGTCATATGCTGTGTGGAACAGCAGCATTTCACAGGGAGAAAACCCTGCCCTTCCCCTTTCCTAGTCAAAATTTCAATGCAAGCAAGCACCCAGCAAAGGACATGTAAGAGAACAGAGAAAGGATTAAAATGATGAACAGTATGGGGAAGGAAAAGTGGCATTTTCGTTTACTGTTCCCTATAATTTAAAAGGCTACCTTCATGCTTCATGCCATCCTGACACCCTTGGTACTGGATGGGATAGAAATGTTGAAATAAATAAATAATGCTATAGCTCTATTGATCTGCTAAGGGAGTGAGCCTTCAGGTTTCCTGGTCGCCACAAGGATACTGAGCTCAGGCAGGCTTGTATTAAGGCAGATGATGTCAGTGGTGCAGCTTAAAATATCCAAAGCAGATGCCCTTTTGTGCTCTCCAGTAACAAAACAGATGGGTTCCAGAACTGATTGCAATGATCTTGCTGTGAAAAGCAAGAGATATTCCTTATTTGGGGCACTGCATAGGAAAGCAATGGATGAGTCAACATAGTGTCCCTTTGGTTCCCAATTAGGGTTGTACAAATGCAAATTCATGGTCTGAAGAAGCCCTCCACTGTCCCTTATCAAAATGTGGCATTCATACAACCAGTTAAGTTTTATATTTACATTTATTTACATTAGATATCTACATTCTAATGTAAATATTTTGAGCCATATATTGGGAATCAATCAGTTACATTGTTTCAAAATTTATGATAGAGCCCACAATGTAGCTGCCTGCAGTATTCACCCCGGATATTCTCTATTATCATGCAATTAAAGTAAATGCACATGAACTTTTTTAGCCAAGGATAAGTCTAAAGCATCTTTAATTATGTGAGGCAAACTTAGTATAAAGCAGTCTTTTCCAGGTTGGGGAGCTCCAAATCTGCTGAAGAATAACACAACTTTGGAAACAATACCCTATATAATTTTTTTAAAGCTTGCATCTTTAACCTTCAAAACTACATGGAGGGCCAGGCACACTGCATGCTGAATCTTACATTATGCAAGGTCAGATTCTGATTCATGTTATCTTATGCTTTTATGCACTTATATTTATCTAAATAGGTTTTTGCATGCAGTTCTCTTGAGAGAAAAAGCAGCTGGATAAAAAGTTGAATATAAAGAAGGTGTTCTTCATTTTAAAAAAATCCTGAACTATATTTCTGCATTATAGAAAGGAGGGATGACAACCCTTCTTCATGTTTATATCCTTCATAGTGTAGTTATTTTAGCCATCATGCACATTTATGTCTATCTTTGCCTGTTGTAACCTTCCTCTGAATACTTGTAGGCATGCTTCTACTTATGAATAATATGAATTAATTAACCTTTATATGCAGAATATTCTGTATCTTGTACTACCAGCAACAAATCTGAACAAGATATTACTTACTGAGAAAAAAGTTATTATTTCAGAGGTTATAGTCTATTTTTTCTTTTTTACAAGAACTCAAATTATTTAGCTGATATGCATTTCTTCAAAATTACACTGTATACTTCGTTCGTAGTCCTAGAGTTCATCATTACATCCTCACTGTTTGCAGCTTCCTTGACATTGTCAGCCAGATGTGGATCATGAGGGCAAGATGTGATATATCTTGAATATCATGACACTACATATGGAACATTAGGTGAAATGTTCCCAGACTGAGGGCTGTTCAGCAGTGGAATGGACTGGCTCATGAGGCGATCGCTTTTCCTTCGTTCAATGTATTTAAGTAGAAGACATCTGTCAGGATGCTGTTAGCTGCATCCAGCACTGTAAGTCTACACTGAGTGTTGGTTGAACCAGATAACTTTCAAGTTCTCTTCCAACTTGATGATTCTGTGCTTCTGTGTGGGATTAACTAGGTATTTTCCAATTGCAGCTTTCACTGGGGAAAGCAGAAGGAAGAAGAAGCATCACTTGTATCATTCTTTGGGTAGAGGTTACCACCTTTCCAGCAAGGTACAGCATGAAGATTGGTTGGACAGTCCTGCTATGCAGCTTTGCCATTGTCGTCATGGATGAACTGCATATTTTTCATGTATCATTCAGTTTAACTAAGTATCAGTGCATGCCACAGCATAAAGAAAAAAAGCTCACAGCAAAATCTTATGAATATGTACTCTGTTTTAAACCCCAGGTTAGTTTAATTAAACTGCTTCAGATGCAGAAATGAAATTAAATGGCCATTTATTGTGTGTGTGCATGTGACTTGCAACAAAATTTTGCAGTGTGAACTTCTGCCCTATGGCAAAACCTAGAGTTCCCCCAAGCCTGCTGACACCTCCCTCTTATATGGTATCCCTGATGATGGTGATATTTTGATTCTGTATGGATCCACACTCACAGAATGACTATGCTGTTAACAAACCCATTAATCTGGATAAGGGCACATGAAAGAAAGTGCTCTTAACTATCCTTGCTGTCAACATACTGCAGGAGCAACACCAAGGAATAAGCAAATGAAGTGCCTTTCCTGACCAAAAGAGGATGTTTCACTTTTTTCTGTATGAAACTGAAAGAACGTTACCCTCACATCCATTAGTCCCATACTTCACACAAGAAGGGAAGTAGGAAGTTCAGTCTCTCTCTTTGGAGAGACAAACTACTCTTTTTTGGCTATCTTTGATGGCTACTAAGAAATGACCACTTCTGAGAGCCACTCCCCATGTGAGTTTGTCCTTCCCTACTGGTATTTATTTCTATATGCCCCTTGTTCCATAATGTTCACCAGATGTTCAAATCTACAGATTTGTAACAAAAGATTTGGTCTTGGTTCTTTTCTCTAGGTCTTAGCCATGACTTCTCCAGAGCATTGATGCTGACTGTGAAACTGCTATGAATCAACTGGTGAATCTTTAACTGTATTCTAGCTATGTATATTTGTCCATGTTCACACTTTGACCATGATGATGTTCCCCTGCACCATGTGGCCAAGTTTCTGAAGGAGCAGTCCCAGGAGGAAAAGGAACATGCTGAAAAGTTCCTGAGGTCCCAGACCAAGTGAGGAGGTTGTGTTACGCTGTAGGACATCAAAAAGCCAGAACAGGATGAATGGGGGAAAACAGCCTAGAAGCCTTACAGTGTACCCTACAGCTAGAGAAGGTGGTAAATCAGGCCTTGCTGGATCTGCACAAACTGGCAATGACCCTCAACTGTGTTACTTTCTGAAGTCTGAATTCTTGGAAGGGAAGGTGAAAGCCAACAAACAGCTGGGCAACTGCCTCACCGATCTGAAGCACCTGGGGATGCTCCAGAATGGCCTGCAGGAGTACCTGTTCAACAAACTCACCCTGGGGAAGAGAAACTGGGTCTCTCAATCACTTTAAATGTGCACAGTACCTGTTGGGAATAAAATAAAATATCATCTGGAAAAAAAAGAAAAGGCAAAACAACCAGGTAAATGCCAATTAATTGGGAAATAAAAGGCAAAATGCTTTTGGCAGAGGAATACCTGAGTTGGATGCTTTGCAGGAGCTCTGTGGTTTTCTCATGGAATCAATTAAAGAAAACAGCAAACTCTCAGGATGAGAGAAGGCAGAGAAGGATGTCATTGACATAAACATGGTAGAAGGAATCGTAAGAATGAATTGGAGCACCCAGAGATAACAGATTAGAATAAAAAGTAGGTTGTGAGTAATAAAGAAATGACAGGGGAACAGAATACTTCTGTATTCTAATGAAAAACCACATATTTGTTTCAGAAAGCACATAACATTGTCCAGTTGGTATTATTTATAGTTTCCTGACAGAATGAAAAAAAGATTTGCTGAGATAAGAAGTTATTTTTGTCATTTTTTTCCTAGTTCTGTCTCCAACTTGAAATAGCAGACAGAGAAGTGACAAAGAGAGGTGAGACACAACAATTTTGAAACTGAGACTTGTTTGAATGCATTGTTTTGACATTAAAAATCTAAATCATAAAAAGTGGAAATTAAATTATGCCTATCAAGACCAAGTGTGGAACACTGCAAAGATTCAAGGACAGTGAGCTCTTTATGCATGCAGCCATACCACAAAAAGGCAACACAAATGGGACACACATAAATTAGATGAAATTAGGTATACACCTTTTAGAGGAAGCAGTTGTTAAAATGCTTAAGAAAACTAAATGATTCGTAAGTAGAAGGGCATAAGAAAGTCTTTTAAATATGGTTATCTAATATCAATACCTACACAGAGATTAGAGGGTATTCCAATCTTGTGGCTATGTTAAATACACAGATTGCTTCTGTCAGTAAAGGCAGAATTCTACCAGTGTTTTTAAATGCAACTTTTTAGTCTGGCAGTCATTCGGCAGCATTGCTGTATCAACTGAACCCTTGACAAAGAACGCAACGTCCACTTTGAGGCAAGATCTATGTGGCTCTGCCACCATAAAGCAGCCTGCTCACTCAGTCCCCTGCTGTTATGATGCCAGTGCAAGGAATTGCCAGCTTCCATGCCTTCAACTGCCACTGTTCTTCCCTTTCTACTCTTGGCAATGCGGCAATTGTATCCTTATGTGGCCCTCTTTGCACTGCCTGAGACGTAGTCATTATTTGGTAACAGCAAGATGCTGAGGTCAGCTAACAGTGCAGTGCGGCCTGTCATCATGATGTCTTGATGGAGTGTGTGCTTTCAGCAGCACAGCACTGAATCAAAGGATAAAAATCGAATGCTTTCTTCTTATTTGAGGGTAACTTCTGCAGAAGATGGTTTTGCAAATGGTACTTGCATCTTTCTTGATCTGAAAACAGCTTCAGGTTTATTTCAGGACTCACTTGAGAGGAATTTCAGTCTGTTGCATTCCTCTGCTTCATGTCAAATTGTCCTGACCCAGCAAAAATATGAAATATTCAAACTTCATAATTAAGCATGCCTCATTTTGCATGGGTCATTCAAATGTGATGCTGCCTCCTTCAGACACTTTAGACTGTGAGTACTTTACTTGGCTTGCGAAGAGAAGATTTACATCCAAAATGAGCTAAGTGAAATCATTATCATCTTTGTTATAAATAATCAATTACCGTATTTTTCGCTCTGTAAGACGCACTTTTTCCCCCCTCAAAAGTAAGGGGAAATGTCTGTGCGTCTTATAGAGCGAATGTGTGTGTGCTCGATGCCCAGGATGCTGCCGGCCTGCCTGCACCATGTGGCACCACCTGGCCGGCACATGCTCGGCGCGTGCTGCTCCACGCCCCCCTCCGGCGCAGGTGAGAGCTGTGCTGTTCAGGGGGAGCAGTGTGGAGGAGGAGGAGCTGCGGGCTTTAACCTGCCGGCTGCACGGAGAGACGGACTGCTCACTCCCACCGCCTGAGAAGACCTACCGCCACCACTGCCGCCCCGCCGCCCAGAAGACCACCACCGGCACACTGCCGGACCCATGTGGCACCACCTGGCCGGCACGCGCTCAGCACGCCCTGCTCTGCCCCCCCCCTCCAGTGCAGGTGAGAGCTGTGCCGCTCAGGGGGAGCAGGGTGGAGGAGGAGCAGCCGCGGGCTTTAACCCGCTGGCTGCACGGAGAGACGGACTACTCACCCCCACCGTCCAGGAAGACCTGCTGCCGCTGCCACCGCCGCACCGCCCAGAAGACCACTGCTGGCATGCTGCCAGCCCAGCTGCACCACACCTGGCCAGCACGTGCTTGGCGCGCCCTGCTCCGCCCCCTCCTCCGGTGCAGGTGAGAGCTGTTAATCACAGGTCGGTGTGTGTTTTCAAATGGCAACCTGTCTTTTAATGAAGCCCATGGGGAAGTGATGGGGAATGTGCCTGTGATTATCAGGAAGCTTTCCATGGATCCCTCCTCTAAAAACTAGGTGCATGTTATGGTCAGGTGCGTCTTATAGAGCGAAAAATACAGTACTTCAGTTAGCTTACCAGCACAAGTAGCTGCTTATGCAAATAGTCTACTTGAGTAAGCATCCTGATTCTGGTGAGAGGGAGGACTTGGAGGATTGCTTCTGCTTATCCATGATTAGAAACATGTCAAAATGTTTTCATCATCATAGAAACGGAGACACAATTTTCCACAAGTCTGATCCTCCAGCTTTACACTGCTTAGCCGAGTGGACTATCTGCATGAACTATTATTTGCACAGGTAAGCCAGTCACTGTAACATCTACCCTGGCTCTTAGTTTATGTATCCTGGTTTCACACAGTGCCTAACATGCCATTTGAGGTTAGCTGGGGGTAGTCCTAATATACCAATTAGCTAAGCACATTCCAAAATGAGCAGTGTTATCTGCCCAAGGTCATAGGGTGTAGGGTCTATGAGAGAAATTGGAACTGGAACCTAGTTAGATAATTAAGGGAATGATATGGACACACAGTTGGAATAGGATTTAATGAAACCAAAACTAAATTCATGAATGAAAAAGGGAACCCACAGTGAGCAGCAGCTACAAACTCTCCATCTGTAGAAAAAGAAGAGCTAAACAATTATTAGATAATCTATTCAGGAACTCCAAATGAAGCCATACAGGACTATGCCCAGGGGGATCATTTAAATATGCAGACATCTGTTGAGTTCAGCATGCAATAAGCCTACAGTCAACTTACTATTCCTAATTTAAGCAGCTTCTTGTAGCATTATTTTTGTCTCCTGCAGTGATAATCTAGCCTATGCTGATTACTATTTTGCTGTTATTTACCTCAGTTTTCTGATAGCTGTGCACATCTAAGCTAAAGGTTAACTCGACTTATTTCTTCCAGTCACTGGTTTTATGGAGGACTATATCCCATGACACTAAGTTAAAAGTCATGCTCCAAAGGGATCATGAGCAATTGCATAGCGTATGAACTCCTAATACAGCATAGAATGCCATGAATGAAATATGGGCAGACAGAGACCACAAGACTAATTAACCTGTTGTAAGTAGAGCAGAAAAAGAACTCCAAAGCCAGGCTCAGGCCTTTCTGAAAGCTAAAAACAATGGTCTCATTTTTATGATCACTGTGGCCCACAACAGCTTATTTGTAGTTCAAGGTTTATCGAAGGGATGGTTACCCTTGAGTTTACCATCACAAATCCTATGCATTCAGGCTTGCATGACACAACAGCTTGTGTTGTGCCTATCACAGCTTCCATATTCAAAATGGCAGCCATTACATGCTTTTTGGAAAGGGGCATTCAAAAATGTTCCCAAAACAGAATTTGGCTTCAGCCTGAAAGAAGCTCTGAACCTCTGATTTGTTCAGTTGTAAAAGCAGAGTAAGGCCGAGATTACGATCATGTGTACAAATCAGTGCAACTTAAATCAATGGGAGACTACTGGGACTTGTTGGAACATTCTGCTTTGACTTATGAATAAAAGAAAATGCATAACCTCTCTTGTAAAAAATTATCATACAATACCATACTGTCAAATGTTAAATGTTAGTAGTAACTGAAAATGAACATTTCATAAAGTGTATTTTAAAAGGAGTGCATTGGCAAAAAATTGAAATACATCTTCATATGCATATAAATTATTCCAAATTATATTAACTCCCACATAATAAATATAGTTCTCATAAACACTATGCAGGTTAGATGAAAAATTCTGAATAATACTTTTTCATCAATGTCCCATATTTATATGATGCTTTCCTAAACATTGCAATTATTTAGACCAAATTATTTAGATTTTTTCCAATGTTTGGTTGCTTTTTTAATGATGATAAATAAAATCAGATTTGTTATGGGAAGGCGTTTTAATTAAATTTTGCTATGGGAGCTATGCTGCTGATATTATATAGCTTGGATGGGAAAGCTATAGCATTCAGTCCAGTGTTATGTGGTCTTTGGCCTGATTTCATGTGGGGAGATAAAGAGACAGAGAAGGAAGGAAAGAAGGGGGAGAGAGAGATGAGCACCTTGTGATGCTGAACAGTTGTGAACTCCCTACTTTTGGCTCTGCCTATGATCAGCTATGCCCCTGATGCACTTTTCTCTGAGTCAGCTTCAGAAAATGACTTTCTACTCCTATGCTTCTACTTTGAATGAACTTGCTCAACTTCTTTTTTAAAAGTGAGTGTGAAGGCAGGTTCAAATATTATGTGAATAGGGAAGTGATCCATCCTTTCCATTTCTTAATTGAAGCATGGAGATACAGTTTTTCAGTTCATAAGAGATGAAGAAGTATATTACCTTGGAGAAAATTTATGTACATCGACAGTTTGGGCAAGGCACTAAAGCACCAGAAGCTTTCAGGTGAAGGTTTTGCTTGGAATTATTAGTCACTGTATACTGGGCACCAAACCACCTTTCCACCTTTCCAGTGGTGAGTGGTGCTAAAATATTAAAAATTTAAGAAAAGAAAATCAGTTATTTAGAAACTAGATAAGACCAGAAGAAGAAACCATGTC